CCTGCTGTAAAAAAAAACCCCAGTCCATTTTCTCTCAAGCAAGTCCGTTATAGGTGTCTTTTAGGTAAAAGACGGAAAGGCGGAGGCTGGCGGACAACGAGAATGATATTACATGCATGTGATCGGCATCACAACCCATAGACTACCTAAATTGTGAAGCCAAGCAATTACCGGTACTCCAACAATCTACGCCCTCGCCATTGCTTTTCTTTCTTTTTTTTTCATCGTGTCCCCCCCCATATTGTCTCCCACATTTCTGCTCCTTGTCAATTACCACTTCTTTGCCTCAACCCCCTCTGGAGCAATCGTCTCCACCGTCCGGCTCCCGACATCACTCCAGTCCGTACTTAGACTCGTGCCGTTGCTCTCAACGAAGCTCTTCGTCATGGCCCTCTGCTGGTCTGGAGTCGCACCCTTGAACAGCTTCTTGAAGAAGTCATTCGGGCCAGTCTCTTCTTCCTCATCTTCATCTGCTCCGATCTTGTCCCAATTCTTGGGACCAGTGCGAGACGACGACGGATAGGCGGGGCCAGAATCAGTCGTGGCCTTGACCTTGCTGGCTTCAGGTTGGGTAGTTGCCGCTGTAGGTTTCTCGTCCTTGGTCTTGGCATCTGCCTCGTCCATGGCTCGCTGTCTGGCGTCTTTGAGGGCTTGTAACCTACTCGTCGTCCATTTTAGCCTTCATATTCACGGGGGAGCGGCACGGGGGGAAACAAGTACAACATACCCCTCGTCCTTTTCTGTAGCTTCCTTGGTCCCTGACGACTCCTTCGTGACTCGTGACCACTTTCCCGGCAACTTTTTGACTAGGCGTAGCTCGACTTTGCTGGGGGTGACGGTGTACCCCGAGCTAGATGGGTCGATTTCGGCAAAAGTTTCGAGCAGAAATTCCTTCTCGTCGCCGTTAGGGTAGACGAGAGGGTTTAAGTGGACAGACTCTGGGAGAAACTTGACCTCAAGCTTCTCCTTGTCGACGCCCTTGCTGAAGATGGACACGGACATGGCGGTGTTGGTTTGAAAGTCCTGCAAACGAAGAGGGGCATCGCTAGGGATGGCGGGTTTCTGTGCTGCAACATCATTCTTCGTGGTGCCCTCCATGTCCTTGTCGTCCGCCTTCAAAGCAGCAAGCTCCTTGCGCTCTGGCACCAAAGGGGCCGTCGCCTGCCGGGCCTCGTCATCAGCAGGCAACTTCTTCATGGCAGCGAGGGCCTGAATACGAAGGGTGCTTGCTCGCCGCCAGTCACCGACATGTGCCGGTTGAGCAGACATTGCTCCCTCCGGCTTAGTCTGGTTGAAGGGGTCCTCGCGAGCTTCCGCCATTGCGTCCGCGGCAGTTGGTTTCCAGAACCCGTCGTGGTCAGAATTAGCGGCCCTGACATCTTCCTTTTCCAGTGCCGCATGGCCCTTAACCAGACGCATGGCATAGATGGCACAGCAGTCGGCATTGGCGTACTGCCCCAGGCGGAAGTAGGCGACTGCTCGACGGTAGTGGGCGTCAATCATCAAGTCTCGCTTATTTCGCTCATAAGCTTTGTGGAAGGCAAGGTTGGCGTCGTCGAGGGCTTCCTCATAGCGTTTGACGTTGACGAGAGCTTTGGACCGCGCGAGGAGCCATGCTGGGTTGGTAGAGCTTTGGAGAGCTTTGGAGAGCTTGGTGATGGCCTCATCCCAGTTTTGGGCTTCGGCTGCAGCCAGGCCTTGGTTGGCCTGGGTGATGTGTGACATCGTGACGGTGCTGGTACTAGAGATAGAGAAGGGGGGGGGGGGGGGGGTCGTGTTTGTCAAAGAAATCAATTAGATGTAAGGGTATATTTTATGTAGTGATGTGGAAGACAGTTCAAGACAAGGATGATTGATCGTGGTTGCGTTTCAATGTTGCCTATAAGTAGCTACAGCTTAGGCACTCTACGAGCCTTGCCACTACAAAGTGCAGGGGTGTGTAGGGCGAAAAGAGTGGGGCGACAGGTGCTAACTTCTAAAGTTCTGAACCAGCACTACTTCAAATGTTCACAGGCATAGTACGGAGTCTTTAATGTTGGGTAAAGCACCTGCTAGTCCTGAAGCTAGGTAGTCGGTGTGGGTCTGTCATCGCCTGGCACAAACACTCAGAATGCTAGTACAAACCCAAACAGGACTTGACAGAGTATTCGTATTAATATTATCGCATTAAGTAGCTAGTTTTCTGAGCCAGTCATTATAATTCCACCTTAACGTCAGGATACTTTTTCGCAAACAATCCCAACGCCTTCAGCGTAAACGTAAACTTGTAGTTGGGGTACGAAATCATGCATGACTTGTTGAAAACGCCCTCGATGGCTTCCTGGAGCCATTCCCCGTTTTCTTGCTGTCGTTCCATGAGCAATTTGATGCCCTTCTTTAATGGCTCAATATGAGGGTAATCAGCTTCAAGTAAGCCAATCAATGCGAATGCAGTTTGGACCACCAAGGAACCCATGGGGTGTTCATGGTACTCCATCGTTTCGCAAGCCTATCCGCAGTCAGCATTACACTCTTTCCATGGTTAAGCCGCTTGTTACGCACCTTGTAGCTTTCAGACCAGCCGCCATCCTCTCTCTGTTTGGAAATAAGAAAGTCGCAGCCGCGCCGAGAAATCTTGCTATTGGAGTATGTCTCGCCAATACTGGCCATGCTTTCCAGTGCAAACATGGTTGCATAGGTGAAGCAGATGCCCCAGCTACCATACCAGCTACCGTCAACACGCTGATTTGTTTTGATCCAGTTGGTTGCCCTGTTGATGAAAATTTTGATTTCTTTGCTTCGGTAATCTGGCCAATGCTTACTGAACAATGAAAGCGCAGTGACGCACGCTGTAGTGCATTCGGGATAGTCATACTCGATCATGATCCTGCCAAACACCTCGGCGGCATTGAACATTTCCATGTACTCGCCGGCTCGTCGGGCCTCATACGATGATAAAGCCCCATTATCATTCTGGTACAGCAACAGCGTGTCGACTGCGTCAAAAATGCGCCGGTCTTCCAGCACTGCTGGGAATCCGCCGACTTTTTGAAGCAGGATAATGGCCTTCAAGGCCTCGGAAATACAATCACTGACACCATAGCCTTGGTCTCTGTTGCTAAAGGGCCAGCCTCCCTTCCGTGGTTGTCGATAGCATTTCTCTTGATCGACGCAGTTTTCGCGTATCTGTTGACGTTCCAAATACTCGAGGGCGCGGGTTAACATTGGGCGCCATCGCTCGTCATTTTGCAGGCCCGCCTCAAAGACGCCCTGGATCAAAAAGGCGGTATCCCAGCATTGGACGCCGTTGGTGCCGTTGCAGAGCATGCCCTCATCCTTGACCCACAGATACTCATCCAAGCGTTCAATATGTCGTTTTGTGCTGAAAGCATCAGGCCCATCTCGAATATAGCATACAATCGTGTTCATAGGCGCGTTTACAGGCGCAAGATCGGCGTATCCCGTGTTGGCATCTTCCATGTCTACCTGCTGGCTAACCCACTGTTCGGCTCGCTCCTTGATGAAGTTGGGACGCAGGTATGGGTTCCAGACATTGACAATGAACCAATTCATAGTGTTGAGCAGAGACGATTTTGGGTGGTAGTTGTCACCAGGTGCAATGCTGTTTCGGTGCGCAGCCCAGTTAATTTCGGTATGGGGCTGCGTAAACAACTCCTCCTTCAAACCACGGATTACATCCGTCTCCTCACAGCTCCATCTCTTTGAGTAGATGTATCCCATTGGCAGGAAAACCATTCGGATATGAATCCACCATCTCCATGGTGCAATGGGCACCCAATCTGGAAGCAGCCAAATCTCGGGCGGGACAGGATTGACAATGTCCCAGCTTACCACACCCAAAGTTGCCAACCAGAACTTGCCCCAGTGTGGTGAGTTGACAGCTCCTCCAAGCTTGTGCAAGGTACCTCGGGCCTTCACCATGAGAGGGTCCTCGGGGTCGACGCCCACCAAGCGCAACACTGTGTAGTTGAGCGTGATGCCGAATACGGTGCTTTCACCTTCAATGTGTAGTCCCCAGCCGCCATCCTCAGGGTGGGCTCGTGCCGCGAGGTAGTCCTTTATGGCAGTCGCGTATGCCGACGGAATCGGCGTCTTGGTGACGTACCAAGCCACAACAATACCAGCAAGGAGGAACATTGGTCCGCCATATTCGCACCCCCAGTGGCCTGATGGCAGCTGGAGCTTTTGGAAGAATTCGAGCGCATTCTTGGCAGAGTCCAGAGGCGTTTCGGGCTTTGGAAGTGCTGGCAAGTCCTGTGGCATTAGTTGTCAGCTCAATGTCATGTCTCGGGAGAACACTAGTAGAGAGTCTAGTAGCTCTTACCAGGGGCAAACCCAAATAGTACTTCTCCGCGTAGCTCTGCGGCCATTCTTCAGCAGCCTTTTTGGTGGTCAAGTAATGCCACGTGTGGCGGCTGTCATCATCCTTGATTCGCCATCGTGTTGGGTCCGTCTTGGCCTCAATCTTGGGCTTCTCTGGAAACCCAAGCTCCGAGTCGCTGGTCCTCTTGCGCGACTTGGCGGACCCAATGTCTCGACCTGATGCGGTGGCCATGTTGGCTTTGCACTGGGAAGCAGGCAGAGCGGGTTCCTGGGGCGGGGGGAATCGTGAGATGCAATGCTATGAAGGGTTTGCCTCTCGAGCCCGGAGATGCGAGGAGACGAGGACAAATTAAGGACGGTCCTCGAACAAGCACCGATGGCTGCCTTGGTAGCACGTTGTAAATTAATGTGCGGGGCCGTCGCGGCTTCCTGGGGTTCCGCCTCCCGTGCTGCCTCTACAAAGCGCCATCGCGACTGCCCCTGGTCTTGTTGCAACTTGCGACATCCGAAAGCTAATTCTTAATCCGCACCAGCAGATGACGAAAATCAGGCCACTTTTCAGAGGCGCAGTTCGCATTCCGTCTCATTCTAGAACAAGCACAGGCAACATCAAGTTGATCTTTACCGTTTCTACCTGCCTGCAAGGCGGCTGCGTGCCGGTTGCGTATGCACCTTCTATGACATCCAACGGTCACCAAGCGAGCCACGTTGGCTCCATCCCGACGGAGCATTTGAATTATGCCGGCGCGGCGATATCACGGATTGAAAGCATTTTCGAGTCCGTCATTAACAACCTGCTCCACAATGAACCAATGAGTATTGCACTCGCGTCTCGCAGAAGTCTACGCCGTCGTCAAAGCCATGTGCCTCTGAGGCAGATCCAGTTCCCTGGTCGCTCAGCTCAGGAAGCACAGCGATTTGGTATCCAAACTCTCTGAAAAAAAATGTGGTTGGCTCATGACTCATCCTCGCTAGCTCGTGTCCTCTTGATTCTGCAGTTATCCCATGACGCCCTCGTTTCAGGCACAGTACTGACCAAGCGGTTCGTGCCGAAACTACAAGGCCATTGCGTAAATGCTAATGTCGAATAACAAGCAACATCTTCTATCAACATCAGGAGCTGTTTGGAACGCAGCGGGTGGTCGACGAGTTAGTCGATGATGTAGCCACGACACTCGAACTAGACCGTGATGACTTGAATATTGTTAGTACGGGAAAATCACTGCACACAGGGAGACTGAAACTGTAGCAGGTCGCTTCAGCCAAGGGCATCATGGCAGGACCGCTGAGGATCCGCCTGATCGATGGTGGTGAATTAGATGCATCATCCGACACGGTACTTTTGTCCTCAGCGTCGGTTCGGCTTGCTCTAACAGCGACAGGGTGTTGTAATTCCAGCTTCCCGATATATTCAGAGTATTGATGTTGGGTCACTTCGGTGGGTTCTTGTCATTGAAAAGGATGTATGTCATGGCTTATAAAATCCCCTTTCTACGCCCAAGACACTGACTGCAATTAGGCAACGTTCAGATCCCTCGCATCGACGCTCTACTGGGAAATGTCTGCCAGTGGCAATGGACTGCTAGTAACGGTCGGTGCCTGACCCAATACACCGCCAACAGTCCAAAATTGGAAATGACTAATTGTCGTAGGCGAAAGGGTATCCAGACATGATTACCCGGTCGTTTCTGCACTTGTTGGGGAGGCAGCAGCCTGACATACCCATCTTTGTTTTGACAGACTTTGATCCAGATGGCCTGAAAATCTTCCACTGCTATCTTCATGGATCGGGTAATATCCTGACGGATTCAACTGTTGACAACCCATCCTTCAGCTGGTTAGGCATCAGATCAAGTCACTTGGCAGCCATGGACAGAGTTCTACAGACCTCCAATAGTGGCAGCAGTCAGCCCCCTCCGACATCGAGCAGCACACCAGCCCTCACCTCATTCACAGCCCAAAGTGCAGCCGTGGCCCTCACACTTAGAGATCGAAAAATGATTGTTGACACACTCAAAGCGTTTGAAACGGAGGACGGCGTCACTATTGGATCGCTGAGGCGGGAGCTACAGTATATGCAAGTGCTGGGATACAAGGCAGAAATACAGCTCTTGGATGACTCAGGGAACCTAGACAGTTGGCTGGATACGCAAATCCAGATTGAGATGAATACTTGGTAGCGCACTAGTAACAGCCGTTGAACCAAGCGGTTTTAGTTTCGGAATACCTGGCCCTTTTGGCCTTTTTGATGTTGACCTGGAAGAACGTGCACTGTGCAGTGTCTGGTTCCTACCCTGCAGCAAAACTCCTCAGCGTTGCGGGATCACTGGCTGGACTGGGTCCTACGGTGCGAAAACTGCGGGGCTGCAAAACCACACAGTCCCCTCACTGAAAACAAAATTTTGTGAAACTTTTCGCACGTCCGTTGATCGAGCACAATTGACCATGGCACCGACACTATCGGAGGATGAGATCGATGATCTCATTTACCTCGCTCGAGTTGGAGAAAACGATGAACTGAAGGAGTCTCTTGCCGCCCTAGCAGAGCGAGAGAAGGTGTCACATGCCGAGATCCTGATTGCGGCTAAGGATGAAGGCAAATCAACAGCCTTGCATATGGCAACTGGGAATGGCCACCTGGGTATGTCGAAGTGAAATGAAGGAAAAACCCCGACTTGATGACCAGGTTTCAGAATTTCTCGGTAATTTGCATTACGAAACGCTAACTGTGGCCCCCCCAGAGACTGTACGGGAATTGCTTCGTTGCTTTGATGGCAGGCCAAAGGAAGAAAAGCAGGCGTTCATTGATGAAGCTAATGAGCACGGAAACACTGGTCTGCACTGGGCAGCTCTTGGCGGCCATCTTGATACCGTCAAACTTCTAATGGACCATGGTGCCTCGCCAGCCTTGGCAAATGAGAGAAATTACGTCCCGCTGGACCTGGCCAATTTCAACGATAAGCGGGAGGTTGCCGAGTATTTCCTAGAGTCTGCCGGCATGCTTGAAAACAACAACGAGGAGAGCGGTCTGGCCAATGCAGCCGAGTCGATTGAGCTCGCCGGGGATGAAGATGATAGGGAGCAGGGAGAGGCTGCATAATGTAACGCGGCTTTTCACATCACATGGACGCCACAATAAGGAAGGTTCTTTCAGATTTTGGTACTGCGACAGGAAGAAGGCAGGGGCTGATGGTGGTGACGGACCCAATCCGCCCCAGGGGAAGACATACGTTACATTTCCCCAGAATCTAGCAGCAAAATCAGATGAACGCAGCAGCCACGGGAAGAGCCAGCGGGAAGATGCAGAAAATCCCCCGAAAAGTATATAGACACGGGCGGGAGATTTACCAAAAGTCAAAATGTTGTTTGGGAACAAGAGCGGGATAGAACTGATGGCAGGAGACAACGACCTGAGCAGTTTATACGGAGATGCGCACTAGGCCCGTCCCCTCTTGGCGTGTTATCAATCACACATTCCACAGACTATGCAGACTTTTGGCAAGCGGCGAATAGTTCTCGCGAAAACCTGTTTCGTAAGGTGGTGTCCTCACCTCGGAGTGGTAATGTAACAAGTCTATCGGATAGTGGCCGCTTGATTTGGTTGCCATGAATCCATGACAGGCGATGCCCAAAGGGAACCATGGATACTTAAGTAGTAGGGGAGGCAAGCTCCTCTCCCTCTCAAAAGCAAAGTTCGGGACCAAAGAATACTTCAAAGCCACAATTTCTCTCTTCGGGCGATGCCTAGCATCGTGCCTGACAGCAACTAGGAACCGGCCTATCTCTCCTGGCCTTGACCGGGGACCGCGCCGAGCAACGGGCAATCCGATAATCAAAATTGGTGGTAGTACGTACTATCGAGTTGCCTCGGCCCCCACATCCATCCTTTCATGTTTCCCCTTTCAACAAAGAGCCGCTTCTGCTGTCTATTCCTGGCGATTGCCAACTACGTGGGGGTCACCCCAGAAAACGTGGGACGGTGACACCCCGCGAATGCCTGCCAATACTGCCCAAGCCGACTCTTGACACAACATCCTCTGCCCCAAGCTTCTTCATTCTTGCATCGTTCCTGCACGCTTCTGGATTGGGGTTGCCAACTGCGGCACGGGTGCGTATATCGACGGGATTGTTGGTTCCCCTGCATGCCGAGCCGGCCTCTGCTGCACTGCGGGACGACCAAGTCGAACGGACGTCTGGAGATGGCCTCACCAGAGATGTCGCCTTTAAAGGGCTCCATATCAGCCAGTGGAGGATATAAGCGTGCAAGTCGCAAGGGTGCCCCGAGACGCTTTCCCTGCGAACATCCGGGTTGCGACAAGATTTATTCGAGGGCTGAGCATTTGCAACGCCACGAATTGAATCGTAAGACATTCCCCCCGCCTACACCCCCAATTTAGCTGCCATGACCCTGCGATGCACCCCACGGAATGGATACGGCTCTGGTTTTCTACTGGAAATAACTTTTTGTGTGACTGACAAAAGCATAGACAACCCAAAGGAAATATTCAAGTGCGACATTGGTGATTGCGATCAGAAGTTTGTTCGCCTGGACTTGCTGGCCCGTCACAAGAAGCGGCACACTGCTTCGTATACCCCCCGAAACAGGATTCCCAGCTTTGACGCAGTTCGAAACTACACGGCACCGTTAAACAGAGCAAAGGCACATCATAATGCTGCTGGACGCCACTCTTTCGGTCATCTTCCCGTTACAACCGGACCACACGACGCAGCTATTCTGCTAACGCCCGAATCCAACACTGAACCAACACCTACCTCCCTACCACATTCTCATATCACAAATAGACAAAGCCAATCGCAGGCGCCATGGACATCACCTACTCATCGGAGAGTCGCCCCCCAACCCCTTGAAATTACGCATAGACAGAGCTTCTACGGGTCCGAGGCCCCTGCTCTCGCTGAGCCCAATGCCATGGTGGCATTTGAGAATGTTGGATATGGCGCTGATGACCAGTTGGCACAGAGCAACTTTGCGGCGTGGCTCTTTGATCCGCAAACATCATATAATGACTTTAGTGTCACGAGCCTGCCATTCCTCGAAGGTGGACTAGAGTCCACCTTTAACAACAATATCCATTACGACTACGAGTCATTAACCAGTCTGTCTCCATTGGATCATACAAACCGGCATGGTGACATGCTGGATGACTGGATAACAGAGTCACGCCGACAAGACTTGCTTTGCTGGCTTCAGCTTTTCCGAAAAAAGCAACCCAAGTATGAATGCCTAATGCCAAACCTGATCCACGAGTGCGGTGGCGATTTACCGGCTCTCAACCTCGACATGATCAGGGACTGCTTAAAGGAGTTTTGGGACACCGTCTCACCGAGGCTTCCGATTGTTCATCAACACACCTTTTCACCAAACAGGTGCCCAATCTTCTTGCTGCTCGTCATGATTTCTCTGGGAGCCGCTTCGCTAAAAAGCCGTGATACAACGGGCCAATTGAAAGAGTACGGTGCCTTTGCCGATGTCATCATATGCAGCGTGCGATGGGAAATTCTGACTTCAGACGACTCTGCACCCCCCGTTGGGCTGTGGGTTGCGCAAGCATTGCTGCTTCTCGAGTTCTACGAAAAGCTCTACAGCACAAGACGATTGCACGAACGAGCACATATATATCACCCCGCATTTCTAACATTGCTACGCAGAGGCAGCCCCCTGATAGGAAGGACTGGCAGTGAATCTCCAGGAGAACCTGATGATACCCGCTCGGATCGACCTACACCGATGCCGGGAATGGCCCTTGACTCCAATACGTGGTGGGTTCGATGGGCGGAAACGGAATCCATGCAACGCGTCGTCTTCGCCGCCTTCATGTTGGACATTATCCACGCCGCCATGTTTGGCCATACGGCTGACATGGCGGCCCACGAAATCCGCCTCCCTCTCCCCTGCGATGACAACCTTTGGACAGCGAGCAGCCCTGATGTCGTTCGTCAACTTGATGCCAATTTCCGCATGTACGGCGTCAAGCAAGTCTCCTTCCTCGACGGCCTCAAATCCGCCCTGCATGGCAAAGAAGTCAAGACGCATGCCTTTGGCCGCATGATTATCATCTCTGGTCTCCTCAGCGTTAGCTGGCACCTCTCGCACCGCGAAACGCATCTCAAGTGGCTTGATATTCGCGGTCCATCTGCCGAAACACACGATAACTGGCGCAAGATGCTTCTGAACGCTTTTGGCAGCTGGAAGGAATCTTTCGACGTTGCCATGTCCGACTCGGTCACCGACGCCCCGGGCCATCGGCCGGTCCCAAACGGCCCCATCAACAGCGCCTCTTTGCTCTTCCACCTCGCGCATATTAGCTTGCATGCGGACATTATCGACTGCCAAGTGTATGCGGGTGCCCGGCGACTTCTCGGCCGCAAGGTGTCAACGAGGGACTACACCAACGCCGTAAAGCGCATGGGCACGTGGGCGAAGCAAGCGTCTACTAGGCATGCTATTTTACATGCATTTAAACTACTGTACCGCGTTCTTGTCGATCCCCATCCCAGGAAAAGGAACTCCCCTTACCCAGACTCCCCGGCGGTCCAATATTCTATTCAAAACGAGACGGATCCCCACCGCCCTTGGATAATGTACTACTCCGTCCTGGCGATTTGGGCATTTGTCCAGGCGGTAGGCAGACCCCCTGGCAAGGGATTTCCACTGAGAGCATCGCAAATGACACAGAGCACCTATTCTCGGATGGCCGAGTATCTGTCCGGGGTGGCGGTCCTACAGGATCTGGATGAGACAACAGTTGCAACCTTGCACGAAGGACTCCCCGAGCTGCTGGAGACTATGGAGGGCATTCTGGAGGAGGCGGATACTGAGTTGTTGGCCGAGGCGAGGGATAGGCTAGGTGTCTGCAGGGATATGTTGTTGGGGGGATCCAGATAAGGAAGTGACCTGAAGGCAAATCATGCTGTTCGATTCATGGTCAGTTCTGGACTCTACGAAGCATAGACTTGGTTCGTATATCTGATCGTACGGGGCTGTTGACGCACCGTTTGTTTCTGGCAGCGACGTCACACGACAGTATGGTGAGTTTCAGCTTAAGAACCGAAATGCATCACCTGGGTGCCAAACATACTGCACTCGAGTCGCGGGATCTCTTGCAATCCATGGAGTCGAAGTCTGGAGCAGTATTCCGCAAGAAAATACTGGTAATACAGCTTCGTTTTGCAGCTTGCCTCCGCGCAAACCTTGGCTGCCCCGATCCAGGGGCAGTGGGCTCTCCTCTCAACAGGCATGGGCATAACGTCGGCCTCGCTCAGATCCACGGACACAGCGGCAAGAGCCTAGGCGAATTATCTAAGGACCACTTCGAGTACGCTCCGCCAGCTATTTCTATCCTTTTCCAGAATACCCGGCTAATAATCGTGTATAGTGGCGTAGCCGCAAACATTGTGCAAACGCCGTGGGTTGCGGCGTTCGTAGCCCAAGTTTCCCATCGTCCCTCAAGCCCTGTGAAATAGCTTTCCATTCTTCCACTGCCCAGGTAGTGCTAGGTGGCGTAGCAGCCGGCTTCACCTCGTCTTGCCCAAGGCGACGGGCTCATCTATCTGCGCACTCATCGAGAACACGGAATGTGGACAGACATGTTAAGCCTGGACTTACAGCACAATGAAGTATCTGATTATTCATTCACCAGTATTATATGCCGTAAACTAAATCACGTACATTGTACAATGCTTCTCGTTGGCTACCCCCTTGGAATCTGATTGACAAACGTGATCAACGCACCCGACACCCGACCTCCCTCAACCGGTAGCAAGCTTCTTCAACCGGGCCAAGTCTCCATTGAAAACATCAGAGTCGCCACCCCACGGGCTCTTGTCGCTATTCTGCCAAATCGTCTGGGCGCGCCAGCCCCCAGGAATGGCGCCCGGAGAGCCGGCGTAGCGCGCCAGAACCAGCGGGCAAGTATCCTTGAAGGCCTGCGAGTTTCCGGTACAAGAGGACCACCACGACGGGTTAGTATACAACATGGGCCACCGGGTAGTTTTCTCGCGGTACGTGTCAGCAAAGTCCCTGATCCATGCGACCATGGCGGAATGCGACAACCCCCAGCACTGGGGGTGGCCCTTTTCGGATTCCAGATCGACCATGCCGGGTAGGGTGATGCCGTCCCCGGACCAGCCGCCGCCGTTCTTGACGAAGAAGTCAGCCTCGGCTGAGGCCTGGTTCTGCCCGGGGTGGGCAAAGTGGTATGCGCCGCGGATGAGCTTGGCCTCGGTTGCGCCCGTGTAGTGCTTGGAGAAGGTCTTGTCAGTGTAGGTGGTTCCCTCGGTGGCCTGGACGTTGTTAGCATGCTGTGATGGGAGTTCAAGTGTGCTGAGGAGAGGGGACCTTGATGATGACGAAGCGAGCGCCGTCGGCGTAGGCCTTGTGGAAGTCGACGTTGGGCTGGTAGCTCGAGATGTCGAAGCCCTTGACGGTGGCGGCGCGCTGCTCGAGTTGCACGGGGGAGGCGGCAACTGAGCTGACAAGGGCAGCGAAGCCAAGCGAGATTGCTCCTGAGGGCTTCATGTTTGCGATGGGTCAAGTTGAGTCTGTTGGTGGTTATTCCGGGGACGGGTGTGAGTAGGTCTTTTATATCCTTGGCTATCTGGACATGTTGATCAATGGCGGGGACATGAAAAAATAGGAATGATATAAATAAATCGTATTACCTAGTTGAACCAGCCGTAGCTGAATCACGACTAGGTTGAGGTGACTGGTGGCGTTGTGCTGGCACTGCGAATTAGATGGTCAGCAATGCATGTGAATGATGTAATTGTCCGACTGGTTGTCCAGCAACATGACGGATAACCAGGAAAAGGAACAAGAAGACGGCGAATTTTCTTGCTGGATCTGTATTGCGCCGCTTGCGTCCGAAGAGAGTACCACTTTACTCAACATCCGAGGGTTTCATTGATGACGGCGAAACCACATTGACAATCATATCTCGATGCAAGACGTCGTCACGATGTGTCTAACATCGTCCTGCAATCTAAAATAGGAACTAGGCACTCCAAAGCAGCTGAAGCTTGCCCTGCACATCATTACCCTCTCCAGTATCGGGAATCAGACGATCGCACCCATCTTGGCGATTCTCGAGTCCCACCATAACGCATTACTTCTGCTTAATGGCGCCGAAGCTGAAGGCGAGGCGTCAAATGGGGATAAAGTTCTCGCCCCGGCACAGGTGTTCCTGCGTTCATCGCACGGAAATAGAAACACGAATTGGGAGTTGTCGCAGATCAGGTTGCGCTACATGACGTGAACTGGGAAAAGGGGCGGCATAACACCTGGATTTTCTTTACTAGAGGGCCTGCGACGAGTTAGTGTTTTATTTGTTCACATGAGTCATCACACACGTGGAACATGTGACAAGTTGTGTATTTCGTGGCATTCTGCGATGATAGTCTCCCCTCCGACGGACTTGTAATATGGTTATGAAGCCACGGGAATACGCCAAACAGACAGTCTGCGACCTCCGATACCGACACAAAACCATACTACCTGGCCCAGTCATCCATTTGGTTCTCGTCGGAGCCGGAGCCGTAGCCGTCGTCGTCAATCCATTCATGTGCTGGCCGACATCCCCTACCGACGTTCTGCATCTCGCTCGCAATAGATATTAGGTTCTTCAGCTGCAGTCCGGCATGGCTGGCCGACGAAATCCATTTCTTTTTCGCATTCTCAATCTGCTTCCCGTTCAGATCTATATGGCTCAGCTGGTCCATCTCATCTTTCGTCGGATTGCGGTGTCTGCGCAGCCCAAAGTGGAACGCGCTCTCCTTCAAAGATGACGTCCATAATTGCTCCCTCTGTTCCGGCCCGAGAGCGGGAAAGTCTATCTGGAGCGAGATTCTGCCCTGCAAGTCTGGGTCCAGATCTTGAATGCGGTCGCTGCTGAAGAACACCAAGCCCTTGAAGTCATTGACATGCCGGCGAAAAGTAGACTGGAGTTTCCACGCCTTCGGGTCAGATATCGTCGGCTTCCTTAGAAACTCGTCGCTGCTCTTGATAAACACCCAGGCGTTCGCTGTCCGTGCCCTGTCGAAAAGCTCCCGTAGTATCCGGTCTGCCCTGGACGGCCCGATGCCCAACGTACCCGCGCTGAGGGTGTGGAGGTTCTTTTGGCACACTTTGGCGATGGCTTTAGCAGTGCACGTCTTGCCGGTGCCGGGCCCGCCGACTAGGTGTATGGCCTGGTCGGGATACTCTCGCGCGGCCATACATGTAAGGAAAGTCTGGATGCTGGCATGTGCAGCTTCCGGCAGCATCACCGACTTCAATGGTTGTGTATTGAATTGCACATCGCGGACAACGTCGACCAACAAGTCCATCCAGACTTGCTTTGGGTAAGACCAGACATGGATGACGGGCGATGCGTACATGAGTTGGTCCTGTGTCAGGGTCGGCAGGACTTGGGTGCTGGAGGATTCGGACGACGACGACGGTGATGTAACAACATCGTCTTGGTTGGCCTGCAGCCCTTGTAGAAACTTGTAGCCCCCGTAGTAAAGTCCGTTGTTCTCCCGGTGCTTCCGACCAAGCATGATGCGGCCCTTGACCCCTATTTCGCCTCGTCGGCAGTCACACTGCGGCCACGACGGGGCGGCTATCTCGTAGTCTTTGCGGCAGGCCGAGGAGGAAGTTACAAGGTTCACAAACTTCTGGCCTCTCCCGCAGAGCAGCTTTGTAAACTCCAATTGACGCTCGTGGCCCTCGAGCGGAGGCAGGGGCAGGGAGGCGAACTCTTTATGCCCTTTATATTGGGGAATTTCGAACTCGGCTTGGTACCAGGCCAAGCCGTGCCACATGCCGATAAACCTGCATTTAAGAACATAAAGTAGCTTGTCGTCCTTGGTTGGTTTATATGACCCCCTTATAACTTGAAACGCTTCAAGATGACCGCAGTATCCAGGCTGGCGACCTCCGACAGGATTGTCATCGCGCCCGCGATACAAGACTCCACAACCGGGGGAGTAAATAGTCCACAGATCCGCGAATGCAACCGTTCGAGTTTTCAAGCAGTGTTCTCGGGTTTTCACACTTTTCTTCAGCTGCTCCTCCATCATGTTGTAGAGCAGACCCATGTACGCTTTGGTCTCGGGATGCGCCTCTTCATCTTTGACATCTTTAAGTTGTTCCAATCCGTGGATGAAGCAATCGAACGGAGGCATTATCTGCAATGTCGGCGGTGTGGAATCGATTTCGGGATCGTATTGAAACACTGGTTTCAAAGCCTTCTGCAGGCGCGGCGACTGGATCACGATGCTGTGACTTTGGAGACCGTCTGCTATATCTGCATTTGCTTAACATTTCGCCAGACAAGGACGATTAGTCGCCATGTGAGTTGCATCGGCCAAGGAGTGCATGGTTCCACTTACACCGTATATGGATCACGGCAAATTTCTTAACATCCTCGACTTCGATTTTCCTCACAGAATAACGGGACTCATCCTCGAACCAAAGGGTTTCGCCTAATGTAGTTTCAATGTAGAGAGTCTTGATTTCCGGCTTCTTGCTTGCAGGGACGGCGCCATTGTTCTCTTCACTGTTGCCCTTTGCTCCGTCTTTCCTATAGGCAGCGTTGTCCTTTGCAAAACTAACGTCCTCCTTGAAAGTGACGACAGGCTTGTCTCTGACCGAGGTATCGGCTCGATCACGAGGGATGTCTCTGAACTCGATTGAGTGACTTTTGACTTGCATTTCAACGTTGTTATCGGCCTCAAAGGACCGTCTCCCCAGGCGAGACAACGACGATCAAAGACTCGACACCACTCTTGTCGAGCTGCGCGATGGCGAAGAAGGAAAAGGTAAATAAAGCTTCAAAATGTAGCGCTGTAAAAAATGATGAATGAAAAAATCTATGTAGAATGTTGGAAAAAGTCGTCAGTCGATGCGCAACTTGGAGGAGGATGAGCTGGCTTATCTAGCCGACAAAGGGAACCAACAATATACTGCACAAACCATCCACACTTGGAAATGGACAAAGATGAAACTCATGCCCAAAGCCACACATGAACATGTATGTGTGTACATCCAACAAGGGGAGACTCCCACATGCTAAACAGGCCATCCACGCTCGAGAAGCCCTCGAGTTCGCCCAGGCACAAGACGAATATAGATCTCGCGCCCAAAAGCACCCATGGATATACATGTCTGACAACTCAGCCCTGCGTGGTAGCTTGACCCACCGATAAACCGGCTGGCCCTAATGCTGTTTGTTCGTGCTCATGTTCAGAACAGGTACAGGTGGTGTCTTGGTGTTTCAAGAATTTGGCCGCAGTTTGTAGCTCTCTTTCCCAGCTCCATTTACCCAAATTACGACAGGACACAGCAGATACCAAGAATCGTCATCAAACAGGTGCGCTAATAACATGCAGGCGGCATCCGAAGTAATGCAGAACTGGCATTCGCCATGCATCTGCCATCCCCACTGCTCAACCTAATAGCCCAGCGCGATACCAACACACCATTCAGCATCTGGCCTTTCTCTCCGACAGCACAAAGGCACAAGAGTGGCCTGCTGTGTCTCTCAATGGAGAAGATGGCGCCGGGTCAACCTGAGTCCTCGCCCCCTTGCCCAGTCTGTCGTCAACGACGACATTATAACGAAGCGGCCGAGGAGCAGAGATGACGGTGTTGACAAGGGTTCCGTACATTACATTGCAGCGTAGGTCTTGTTCATGGGAGTGCGTGTTCTGTTGGAGTTTGTCGGCATCAAATCCGAGTAAGAGCTGAAAACAGAGGCAACGGCAACTTTTCCAATTTCCCGACATGTATGCTATGCTCGTATCCAACGCCCAACCATGCAATACTAAAAAAGAAAACACACACACAACGGGTATCTACAAGTCATTCTTCATGCAGCGGCGCTAAAAGTCCGCACCAAGGGCTGAACAGCTTCATTCTCGCTCGGTTCCATTTCACCCTGCATCTGCTCCTCCCCTTCTTCCACCTCTTCTTCTACGGATTTGCCAAAATTCTCACCGACAAAATCACCTAGGCCAATCAAGTCGATCCATTTCCAGTGGTCAACGCTATCGTTGCCACTCCTGTCGAATATGGCTCTGTCGTCGTCTATTCCTTCCTCGGTTAACGGTATCTGGCCGTCCTTCCTGGCATTCAACTTGTCCACATGGGCGCCATCAACAAGGTCACCCGCGTACGTGCGAGCCACGGGAATACCGTTCGCCCGCAACAGCTGCAGTTGAGCGCGGAGATTTAAGCGCAGTGCGCGCTCCGGCTGTTCGGCATCAAATATTTTCTTTGTTAACCAGGGGAACAGAATACCAAAGTCAGATTGGCTGAGATGTGCCGAGTTGACGACGTAAAAGAAGTTGGGTTCTGGCAGCTTTATACCGCTGGGGCGTTCGAATAATGGCGGCGTAACAGTTTTGGAGGTTGGATCCGGCGACAAGAGCTTGGCCTTGACGTGCAGATGCTCGGTCCAGTTGTGGAAGGCCTCCGACTCAACGGCAAGGAGAGCTGTGCCGCCAGGTGCAGAGGGCACGTCGGCGTATACAGGTAGGGGTAGGTCGTAAAGGGGCTTTGAATTAGGTCCAAGTACAGGCAAGCACCACATGTCAAGAAGCATCGTAACGTTTTTCTCTGTAATCTGCTTCCGAATGCTACTATCCTTGGCAGGCGTGAAGAGAGGCTTTTTCATATTAGCAACCTCGGAAACGTCGGCATAATAGTTGCATTTCAGAAATTGGTGGACTGTGGCGGCACCAAAACTATGTCCACCAAAGATGATGCGACCGGGCTCGTGAACATCGAGACGCCCGATGAACTGTTTCAGCGTTGGCGTGGTCAGATTCATATTTGTAAACCCCCTACCCTCATCAATCGCAAGCATGGCGTCATGGAGTAGGCCAAGTTCCCACAGTCGAACGCGCAGCTGGTCCTCGCGGGCCTCGTAGACTTCCGGTGTGACATGGTGCGGTATGCGATTATACGGCACAATGCGGCGAGCGGCCGAGGAGAAGAAGCGGCTTGACGAGTCGGCTAGTCTGATGAAGGAGACAGCAGCGCTACCATCGCGATGTTCGGGGCAGAAGACAACAACACCGTGGGATGCCAGCGACCCGGCAATGTAGGAATACGAATTTCGTCCTCCGCCCAGTCCGTGGGAGAAGATCATTGTCGGCCATCGCTTCGTTTCGGAATCGGCAGCTTCAGCATTCTTGTGGACTGGGATGGTTGTGTAGTGAAGGTGTCGAGGCAGGAATCTGTGGCATCTGTCAGCACATGTTGTCACTATTGGCCAAGGAGAGGAGACATGGGCGCATACGAGAGGATGTCTGCCAAGGTTGATCCAATGCCCACAAACTTGGTGTAGGCAGAAACATGATGCCTCTGGGGGTTTGGTAGCCATGTAATGCGCTTCTCACTGGATTCGGGAACAGCAGGATAGAAGACCCGGAACTGAACCGTTGGAATATCAACGGCGTTGGCGGGCGCAGGGCTTGGGGAGTGCAAATCTGTGACTGGAATTTCGACATCGACAGTGCCGACCTTGAATGGGCCAGTGTACTCTGGGAAGGCCGGAACTGGGCTGAGCCGGGCGAAATACGAGGCCAGTTTGGACGTTGCCGTGGCGTCTGCGGCGGCCATGGTGCAGTTTGGCGATGCACTTGGGTTTTCTTGGTGCGGGATGGCTTGTCGGTCAACGGAGAGGCTTCATTGATGGCTGCGTCGTCTAGAACTTGGCTGCAGCAAAAGAGAGAGGGAGTCTGTCGTTGTAACAGAGTCGTTTTGTTGACAAGTATTGGAATGGGAGATGAAACAAAGGAGAAAAAGGGATGATAAAATGTCCGGTGCAGCTCAGCCTCGGGACCTTGGCGGCGGGAATAGTTTTATGAGCATCCAGGTCGACTTGAGTCCAGGATCTTGGGCTCTTGTACCAGTACCTTCCGAGTCTTGCCCTGATCTAGCGGCTGGGAAGGAGCGACGCATGCCAGCAGGCTTGATGAGTGGCTGCTGATCCACAACCGGCACTGGACTGCCCGGTGTGCCGGTGGTGACGCAACCGCCACGCGAAGCCTGCTTTGAGACCTGTCAGCGTCACTATTTGATTGGCCGATGAGTGCTGCATGCACTTGGCATAAACTGAAAAAAAAATAAAACATGATGCATCCGAGGCTTTGCCGGTTTCGAAGCCCGTCTGTTTTCTTCCAATACCGTTTCCTGTGTGGTCTTTGGCGTTTTATGCAGTCAGCCCCCCGTGAACAGCCGCTTTCGCCATGTCTGAGTTTGCCACGACCAATGCAGACACGCTCGATGCGCGCTGGCTGCAACGACGAAACAGCGCAGCAATGACTTTGGTATCCTCGGATCAGGCACCGGGCAGATAACTTCATCTCGCCGAATGCATGTACTGCTACTTCTCCACCTGTAGCGCAGAAGGAGGGAGTTTGTCACGCGAGCACCCCGTCGATACAAACTTGGTGAGAAATCGCCCGCCGCAAAAACCTTGGCTTCGTGCAACTAGGCCCCTTCCGCCACCGAGGCCCGAGGGCCAAAATATGTTGTTGCCTATCTGGGCAATTCTCTTGTCCGGAGACGCCGGCTGATGTGGGGATGACGAGCCGTGCTGTGGGACCGAGAATTTGTTGTCGAGGCCGCATCTCTGGGAATGGCTTGTCCAGGTCTCAGGAAGAGATGCACCCGGCTATTGGCTACATGAGAAAAACCATGCAAAACCTTGTTCGGCCAGGTCAAACTTGATCGCGTGGTTCGAAGACAATGCCTCTCATCGTCAGACTTGCTGGCACCATGCAGAGAGCCCTGCCTCGAGCCTCAAACTGGAAATAGTACATGCCATTTCAGCAAGGCATATGCAGTCAGACGACCCGGTCAAGCCTACGCTCATGCCAGCCAAACAGCAACAGCCTTCATGGTCTGTAGTCTACAATCCAATTGACACGAGCGTCATCATCTCGCACGACGCAGCATGCCTCCGTCAGCCCTACATTCGCACCCTGATGCCGCAATGCAAGATTCAGCCGCGTGGCGCACATCGGGCCAACCACCACGCCGTGTGCCAGCCTGACGACGATAAAGTATATAGACCGCCACAGTTTCAACGTCATTCGTTCATCCTCCTCAGAATCCGCCGACCGCAAGTCTGATATCACTCGTAACAAACCGTTTTCAGAAAGGGCAGCCGGAGCGTTATAGCAAAGAATGGCGAATGATGTGCAGCCAACAACCAAAAAGGTCGTCATATCTGCCTTTGGCGACGTCTCCAATGTCCACATCGTCACGGAACCCATGCCGCCCCCGTCACCAAACGAAGTCCAAGTTGGCATCATCTACAGCGGCTTCTCCGGAGCAGACATCCACATGCGTCTGGGCCGGTACCCCCAGCAGCCCTCTGCACCTCTCACGCCGGGATACTGCTTCGTCGGCCGCGTCAAGGCCAACGGCTCCGCGTGCACCAAGTTCCGGGCCGGCGACCGGGTCGCCGCGCTGACAGTGTACGGCTCCCAGTCCGAGCTGGTCAACATCCCGCAGGGCAAGCTGATTCCCGTCCCGGCCGGCATCGACTCGCAAGTCGCCTGCGCCCTGGTCCTCGACTGGGCGACCGCGTACGCCATGGTCTTCCACACGGCCAGGGTGGCCGAGAAGCAGCGCGTCTTTGTGCACGGCCTCAGTGGCGCCGTGGGCCAGGCCATCATGGCCCTGTCGCAGCTGCGAGGAGCAACAGTCTACGGCACCTCGTCGGAGAGAAACCACGGGGACCTCGAGAAGATGGGCGCCGTGCCGTTCTCGTATAAAGACCAGAGGTGGATCAAGGAGATGCAGGACCTGGGTGGTGCCCATGCCGTCTTTGATGCCCTCGGGTTTGAAAGCTTCGACCGGTCGTACTCTATTCTGTGCGACCGTGAGCCGGCTCGGCTGGTTGGGTATGGAGCCAACCTGCCGTATCTCGGTGATGACAAGGGCAGATATGGATCGCCGGTCCCGAGCGTCGCCAAGATGCTGCTGCGGAATGCGGCCGTGTGGAGCAACAAGTCGACGAGGTTTTACGACATTAGCAAGGACAAGGACTTTACCGAGAATCTGGCCCGGCTCATGCAGTTGGTGCAGCAGGGCAAGCTCAAGGTTCCTATTAAGCAGGTCTGGGGGCTGGATGAGATTCGAGAGGCGCATAGCAGTTGGGGCAAGGCTCACGGGATGGGGTCCGTTCTTATTCGCGTCGCCGACGAAGTCACCCTGCCGTCTATCGAAGTGTCTGCCGTTGCAGAGTCGAGTGTTTAAGCTCGCACCTATGGGGGGTAAATCTGACCGTCTTCCAGAGACGTGGCTTCTGCTCGACATGCTGGCAAGGGCGACATGCAGGCGTGAATTCGTTTTTGTGAAGCAGGCGGTTCAAGAGGCTGCAGAAATGAGCATGTGCTTCCGCTGCTGGTTGATGCGTAGCAGATGAACATGATGGATTTCTAACATTATTTCCAGCGGCACATCAAAGATTGTACATTATTCACGTCGTTGTGCTTCTCATTCTTAAACCAACCATGTTACACCTCGGCTTTACTGTAGTGATCCAGACGTGAAAGCCTGCAAGAGCTCATAGGCTGATGCGGCCGATATCTCGGTCCCATTGTAGCACGCCATCGCTCGAAATCCCGGAGTGCTCTCCCTGACAGGAACGCGACTGACTCTATCGAAAGGCAGCTCATCAAGGCAAAGCCACCCCGGAGTGAATCTCCCGTGAGCCGGAATCAGCATCATCATCTGGGTTGGGTTTCGTATCAACTCACCCCTGCCAAGATTCCTCGACCCAATGCTCGTCCGTATTCTCCCAGTCCACTTCACTCGTCATCTGGGCAACACTGCAGAACCGCCGGCTGAGGCTCGCTTTCACGTCAGCCGTCTTCATGCCATGCTAAAAGTCTTCTCGCAGAGACACGAGACGCCTGGCTGCCACAGGAACGAGTTGGACGACATACTTTTGGATGACTGAGAAAAATAGCACCACTCTTCCGCTCGTCGCGAGGTCTCCCTTCTGAAGTATCTTGTTGACCCGTTTGCTGGATGTCCAGACGCCATACGCTGCACTTGTTTCATCGTCTGTCGCGTAATCAGTTCTCAACACAAAGTATTTGGTCTACATAACATATTAGGGACCGTCTCTACTTGCGCCAGGGGACGGGGGGGAGTACCGCTTCAAACGACAAATGACGAAAGCACGGCAAAAGAACCTGTGCGTCCAGGCCGGGGCCCTCGGATTCTAGGAGAAAAGATTGCGTGGACCAAGCCAGAGACGCAGGAGTGAATGCTAGAAGTTCTTGCGCTGCAACTCCAGCCGGGCTTTGGGATACAAACAGCCTGCGTGCATGCTATCAGATTCCACCGGTCGAGCTTTTATTTTGAATCCTTGCAAGGCGGGAGATACTCATGACTCCAAGACGATGATTACCGAATCTAAATTCTCAAACCATCCGTCTGATTGGACAAAAGAATCAGCGTACTGGCTAGTTCATAAGCTTCGCATTATCAGGAGTAGAGAACCGTAGGGAAATCTCCAACTCTCTCAAATAATTCCAATTCTCGCTCAAGGTGCGCTTTTGAATTACCTTGACAGCGCGAACCTGAGATGGCGAGTCTGGTGCCACGGATGCATGTGAGTTCTGTCAGATCTCCAGCCGCACACTTCCCGACATGCCTTCACTCAGAATCCTGTCGGCTATCCATATTTCCTCCACTCTGAAACATTTCGAATATGTTTGACTCGTCCGTCCAGGACCTGGGTTTCCAGCCTCGCATCGAGACGTTGGCAGACATGGTATAATACTTGAAGAGTTGATAAGAGTTGCAACAATCTCCGCATTACACTCTGCGGCGTTGCGTGGTGTTTGAGTCAAAGGGTCAACTGGTATCTTGCTATGATAGAGTAGCCCACCCCCCCTTTAAGCTCAGAGCCAGCCTGTGCCGTCACTTGCGGTGACGAATCAAATACTCAGTGGACGGGGCATTTCTGCCGCTTCATTCAGCTCGTGCCTACGTGGGCTAGACACTATCCATCAAGTCATCCCATTGTGGAATTGAATAGGTCAAGGTGTGTGAGGAAGTACTGCGCAAATCCTCAGCTTCCTCGGTGTAGAACGAACTTGACCTTGTCAACACGGCACTCGAGAATTGGGAACCTGTATTGCTGCAGGTTTCGCTCACCTGCGGCCAACAGACAAACATCTCCATGGCCACAGAAGTAATTCATTCCATAGAGCTCTGCGTCAGGTTTGTCAAAGAGGCATAGCATTTCTGCGAGTGGCTGACTATGGTCTAGTAGATCGGCGCAAACAGCTCTGGCGACATGTCGCTCGTTCCAAAACACAGACAGGGAAATTGACGAGATGGTCAATTTTCTAGAAGCCCAATGGACCAAGCTCGAGGTCAAATTGCAGGTGCTGGTCAGAATTGCAGGCTAGCTGGACGAAAAGGTGGCGGAGAGTCAGTTTCGTCTTCTGCAGGTGCTTCACGGCAAACTATCTCTTGCGACGTCGAGTATCCAGATGCCGGAATCTTGCCTGTTGAGGAGGCTGAGATATTCCATCATCGGGAACAGACTCTACGAATTGGTATCGGAGTTGGAGAGTTGGCAGGCACGGCTCGACCCGACGTGGTACCTCATTATTCTCGTGAGAAGGGGGGATGTTGACTTTGCGCTTTGTCGACACGTCGGAAACAAAACGACATCTTCGCAGCCCGCGTCTCTGAGGAGCCGATTGATGCGCCCGCTGTCACCTGCATTATGCTACCACGACGAATGGCCATTGACAAAGTCGTCTTTTTCTTTGCACTATATATCATAGATACTTTGGAGAAACAGATTGATGGTGTCAACCACGTCGCTGCTCTACCCGTCCCTCTCACCCCGAGGCGGTTAGCGCCGAGACAGCAACTCGACATTTCGCCTCGCTTCTGTGCTGGCATCCACGTTGAGCATTACCTGACGAAATCAGTCCTGCTTGCAAACCTTGAGACTTGACTTAACGGAATCATGTGCCGACAACCAGGGAAAGTTTGCGGCAGTGCAATTATGCATTGGCGTCGATGGTCTGCGGCCCTGCGCCCTGCTGAGTACATGTTGGCGGCTACATTGCTCAATCAATCATTGATGTGAATCTTTCACTCGGCTTCGTGAAACAAGCAAGCGCAAATGCTCCCACTAGTTCACAGACAGAGCCGACCCGCCCACAATCAATACTGCCTGTTCTTTTCAGGCGAATATGTCAAGTATCCCCCGCACCGAACCAAAGTTTGCGCCTTTGATTAGTCAGTTAGTCGACTAGAATTCACGGCTGCGTGATTTATACCTCAAGACGAAAACCGCCAGGGTTTTTTCTGTTTTTTTAGGAAACATGCTCCGTGGGGCACTTAAGATTTCTAAATCAACATACGATACGGATTGGGCCATTGCGACCAAGGCCCCAAGCCTCGACTCAGCACCCCGGCCACAAACAGACCGCTTTAAGCTCTGATAAGCATGAACAACTCGTTAGCATAACGTCACCTGGGGACTTTGATGGTTGACTCGTACCACAACCTCAACAGATATATAAAGCGCCATCTGTCCCTTGGCCCGCTTCTCCAACATTTGGGCCCTCGTCATCCAACCCCAACTTCTCCGACACCATGGCCAACGAGTCCGCCGAGGCCCTGAAGGCCCTCCATGTCCCCTCCAAACCCATCATCTTCGCCAACATTTGGGACGTTGCCTCTCTCAACGCCATCAATTCCCTCAACACCCCGTCCTCCAAGCTCGTCCAAGGTGTCGCCACTACATCGTGGGCCATAGCTGCCGTCAACGGACAGCTAGACGAGGACCTCACAGCCGAGCAAACCCTCGAATCCATCAAGCGAATCGCACCCTTTGCCGCGAAAGCAGGTCTCCCGCTGAGCGCCGATCTCAGGGACGGCTATGGTTCGCGCATCTCAGAAGTCGTCACTGACGCCGTAAATGCTGGCATCGCCGGCGCCAACATTGAAGATTCCATCCCATCGCCTTTGTTCGACAAGGGCTTATACCCCATCGACGAGCAGGTTCAGAGGCTCAAGACTGCGCTTCAAGCCGCCGAGGCTGCTGGAACGCCAGACTTTGTGCTCAACGCTCGATGTGACGTGTTTTGCTTGGAGGATGAGAGCCTAGACGATGAGACCAGGCTCAGGGAGGCGATTAAGAGGGGCAAGGCGTATTTGGAGCTGGGTGCCACGACGGTGTTTTACTGGGGTGGGCCGCGAGGAGGCATGACGAAGCATCATTTGGAGACGTTGGTGAAGGAGTTGGATGGTCGGGTCGCCGCGTCATTCTCCGCTTATCCCGGCATCAAGACTACCAAGGAGTTGGCAGATATGGGCGTTGCCAGAGTGAGCATTGGGCCTGGCTTGTTCAAGGTCGCCATGGGGGCGGTCAGGGCTGCTGCTGAGAATATGCTCACGGGGGGGAGTCCGGCACCGTGAGGTGATGACCCCGAGAGTGTCAGAGATACCTATCGTACGTAATGACTGAAGTAGGGAATTGAAAGGAAGAGACGGCCCTGTCACTCGTTTGGCGAGCCACGGCATTGCATTGACGTTGATTCTGCAGATGTATGGCGTCGGAATTGCAAAGTCAATCAAGTTGAGGGCAACTTCCGATGCTTGCTGTCAAAAATTGTCTACTGGCTCTGCGCTCTACGTCGAGGGCTCGATGTGCCGTGGATGAGTGAGTGTTCATGAGAATAAACATGCACTTCCACCCTTTGGACCTTACCATCCAGGGTTAGGGTTGGATGAGACCAAGCGGAGCGTTTGGTGGTCACCCTGCCATTACTCTCCTGATGCCAAAATTTACAAGCTGCACTACCGAAAGTGGGTGAACCCCCGGTAGTGCATTTTGTTTTCATCTCTCTCACATCAAATGTTATCAAGTGTTACGCGGCCTCCCCCCTAACCAGCGCGTAATACCACCGTCCTGGAGCGTCACAGTCTGTGATAGAGATGTGGCCCAAGCTCCATGTCCTTATCTCACTCAAGAAACGTATGGCAATGGCTGCGCTGCGCTTCCAGTATCAGGTGGCTGCCAATATTTGTGGGTATGGTCAGGTTGTCCCACGAGACGGTTATCAAAAGCGTGGCACGCCGAAGCTAGAGTCACCTGCCAGTCCACGTTCAGGAACTCCAGACGCATCCCATCATGGCATGCCATCGCATGTGAGTTACACGAGCATTCAAGGTCCGCCATTGGCTCGCTTACTCCCGCTCTACCCCGCGTTTCTCCCTCCATGCCGCTTTCCATGTCCACTTTCGGTTATTATACCCGGACGGATTGTTCGCCACGACTTGAATGCCGCATTTCCACATACCGACACAAAAATTACTTATGTAGTCTTGGCATGCCATGTGAATCGTTGAAGAAAAGAGCTGCTCAGCCCAGCAAAGCGTGCTGTAGCCCGTTCGCGATATGGCGTTTTTATATTTTCTTCTAGCAATGGCCGTGGGTGTCTGTGCCTACCTATTCCAAGCCTACATCTGGAAGAAGAAAGCCATCGGCCATGGCGAGACTCGGTTCGCTGGTAACGCCAAGCCGGAGACAACCCCTGACTTAGACTACTCCAAAATATTTCCGCCGTCACAGCGGAATACCATCTATGACCTCATCCCTACCGCTGACAACAACATCGAGCCCTTAACCGTCTCAAAACAGCCACTTTTGAAGCTGGAGTGTGACTACCGCCTTGCCGACCCTTCAACCAACCTATATAGTGGCTTCACAGTTGGTGATGTCAGGGCGCTGGGCTGTTTCCCCGACTATGCAAAGCTATCTGGCGTTCCAGCCCCGACGCCCCTCAAAAGCTTCACCATCGACACCGCTCGACCAAGACCATACAGGCCGTTCAGATGGCCGTATCACCAAACTATGTGTATGTAACATGGATATCCAGCAATCACAAGCTACCCGATGAGTCTAACGAGTGCCGCCTCGGCATTAGCTTATAAAAAACTCGATGCGGATTATTGGCTCGAGTTGGAAAGCACCTACCGGGAGCGAATAACCCAGCGCCGAGATCTGTACGCGCAGCACGGCAAAGAAATCCTACAAGCTCTGCCAGGATCAGAGCTCGCGTGCAGGGAGCTCATGGAAATGGCCCTGCAATACCTCGGCATCAAATACCCGCAGCACTTCCAAGTCACAGACGGCCATTTTGTGAACCGCATCCTCGGCACGACACGCGACGTGTCGGCAGCGGAACCGCTTCACGTCCTTTTAGAAAATCTGCCAGAGGACTTTGGAATCATGATGCGCGACGAGAAGACGGGTCGTTACCACTTGCGAGCCGGCGTGATTTGCTCATCTCTCGGCTGGAAGCTAGGCCAGAAGATGGGGATGGGCTTGCCCGGCGTCCACCACGCTGTTCCCGGGTACAAGGAGAAGCTGGCATTTAGCATGGACCGGTGCGTTGCGTGCCCACGCCTGCTGGGATTGCAGACACTAACGCCTCGATTGTAGGTTCTTCACCAAGATGCCGGCTTCGAGCCCTATCCAGAGAGGCTCCTGGGGCTTGGAGATTGGGCAGCCGCTCTTCTTGCCTGATGACCATGCTGACTGGAGTAATCGCGGCTCGAGGAGTGACTCTCTTCGCGAGGAGGATGTTTATTTACGGGTTGACTGGCAGACCTTGCGTCGACTGCCACTCTCGGGAGCTGTTGTTTTCAACTTCAAGGCCTTGTATACGCCTCTGTGCGAGTTTGCTGACGAACCTTATATCCCGTCGCTTGTTCTAAAGATACTGAATGAGGGGGAGGAGGGAATCATGAAGTACAAGGGGACTTGGCATGTTGAGCATGTGGTGAAGCCTGCGCTGGTGAGGTATGAGCAGGCACAGCTGGACATGGGGTTGATTGAGAAGGGCTGGGTCGTGCAGACTCTTGATGAAAGTCCATTCTTTCCGGGGTGGCAGCGGAAGTGCAGCTAGAGGCGGAATGCGTGCGGTGTATTGGTATTGTGCTTGGTTGGAGTGGGCGTGGTGAATGGGTAGTGACGGGTTTCGAGTGAAGCTTTACAGTCGACGGTTCGCAATTGACAGATTGAGCAGGGCTAGCAAGTAGGACTTAATGAATTCTAATGTATGTACGGGACACATAGTCACAGGGATAATACTGGAATTCCTCGATGTATCGCCAGCCAAGTACTGCCTGAAGCTCCCATGCTGTGTGTCGCCGCACTATAAGATTCTGCTCGGCCGGTCTCTCGGCCGGGGCTGATGGGCCGCCCTATCCCTCTGAATGTGCGCAGGTCCAATTGATGTATTCAACCCACTTCTTTTATGATACTTAAAGATACTTTATTATTAAGTATAATAAACTAGTATATTTTTATATACTTATGTATCTTTAAGATCTGAGTTACTTATTATTAGCTAGAACCCTGGCCCGTTACAAAAATTGGACCTGCGCACATTCAGAGGGATGTATAACATGAATCAGTGTAACACAAGGACCAGTGGTTCATCCAGTAGCAGATTGGGTGAGTGTGCCTGCGGGTGTTTCTAATTGTTACGCCATGTCTGGTGGAATACTTGGCCGCGATGGCCTACGGGGTGAGGCAAGGAGATAGCACTGGGGTATTCGACTTTGGTGACGTGCTAGTATTACATTGAATACAAATTCATTCTATACCCAAGTGCCTTTATTTCTAAATTCTCCAGACGGTGCCTATATCTACACCGTAGGGGACAGTGTGAGTTGGACGACGAGGGTGGCCTGTACATCCAAGATGGATTGCCAAGAAGCAAGTGAACCTGCATCTCGTCTACCCCTTACGCCGCTTTTGACTGGGCGCGAGCATGAATGGAATTCTAGGTTCTAGGGACAGTGGCTGACTGCTGCCCGTCGCTAGACGAGTTCCTACGTCATAGAGTGTCGTAACCCCCCTTCTTTGCAGTTTCTACCATTCACCTGCTCTTATTTGATCATGCTGGCTCGGCGAGTTTTAAGATGATCCAACTCCTCCATTTTTCTCCATTCTGCAGTTTCTCCAAAGTAATTCATATCTACACTTAGCATTTTCCCGTGGAGCCAGACTCAATCCATCGCTGTCCCATCTGGGAGATTGCACGGCCTTTTGGAGATTCGGTAGCGCCGGCGAGCCGTAAGGTTCAACGAAGCCAATGCTAAACCGTCGAGTGGCATCGGGGCATTTTTTCACCACCAAAAACTTGGTTTCAAAGCGTCTCAACGCTACTCAAGCCACGTGTCTGCGGTGGAAACACACAAAAGTTTTGTCAAGCAAAGCACTGAGGTTGCCGCCATGAAAGAACTCCCTTGGAGTGTGTCGGCATGTAATGCCACGAGAGCCCAGGAGCCCCGTGGTGGATGAGAATAAGCTTGAACTTGAGCATCCAATTTTACAACAATTTAAAAGGAAGCTACACTATGCGCCACAAAATAAGCAAAATTACGTGTCAAAATTGACTAACCCGGTACGCCTGTCTCCGGGCAGCAATGACGTCTGCCGGCCGGTTTTTCGTGCGGAAACCTTTGATCCAACATGTAGTAGGACAGGGTTAGGGCACGAGCGACGTGTGTAGTCTACACGTCAACACGCCAATTGAATTGGAACAGCGAGCATTCTTGCTAGTCCTTCCACGTGGGTATATAAATACAAGTTCCATCCCTTCAATGGCATCTGGGCCGCTCATCAGATCAGCCTCCAATATATCACGCGCCCATATCCTTACCATCCAACATGTACTTCATCACTCTATTCATGACGGCAGTAGCAACTGCCGTCTCAGCAACCGACCCCGGAGAAACCCCAAATATTGGTGTAAGCAAACAAGCTCCAATCGACTCGCAGACAGTTGCCAACAAAGCCCATCCTGATTTGCCTCTAGGTCACGCTATACGAGCACAGAGACTGGCAAGGACTCTCAGCTACCGTGCCGTATTTAGACAAGTGCTTCGCAATTCCAGCGAACTTGTAAGCAATGCCTTTTCCAATTCCATCAAGCCTGTGAGCAAATGCTGACGGTGGGGAATAAAGGGTTGACGGGGAAGAGACAACCCTGATATCATCCATCAAATTTTTTACCCACGAGGTAAACTGTTCTGTGTACCTCTAGTAAGTCGGCATGCTGCGTTTCCGCCCACTTCACAGGTCGCAACTGACGCGGCAACTCAGCAACGCGAATTGCTTGAACCCGTCTCTCTACACGAATGTTTCCGAGTCTATTCGCGATTTGCATGAGACCGACGACGGTGACCAGATTAGGTCCATTTTCTGCACGCGGATCCGTTTTGAGAACGGCGAATGGGACCCCCATGATTAGGGGTCATGATTATGTCTTGGGTATAGGGTTTCCCGGGTGAAATTAGGCTCTCCTATATCATTATTGAGAGGTAGAGTCTTTTAAATCTCTTCTGCTTTGTTTGCCTTTTTTTAAACAAAATATCGTCGGCTGGACTGGCGTGTTGAGGAC